TCTCATCTAGAGCAACATCATGGCATTTGCAACCCTGACAAAAACAGGCACACTATCAAATAATATATAATATTATAATTTCAGATAGAACTACACATTTATCATGCTTCCGATTATCTTCTTCAGAGTTCATGCAGATTTTTGGATCCAAAATTCAAGACTTTTCCTTGACCTTTTTTCCAAAACATCAATTTATTTTTCCAGACTGAAGATGGTCAAATAGGTGATCAATAGAGATCTTGAAAAATGCAGAAACCAAGCTTCTTTCATAATGCACTGCAAATGTACAATAACCATGGTGCAATTATGAAACTTCTCATTCTGTGATTGAATGTCTTAGCTACAGGCGAGATTGAATTGACCACAGGGGAAAAAAATGAACTTATTAAGCACTTTTTGTAGCTATAAAAAAACTCCAGACTTGAACTATTTTTCTAAACATTATCTTCAATTTCAAGACTCTTTCCAGGTCTGGAAAATCAAGACTTTTCCAATAATTTATGACTCTGTGTGAGCCCTGTTCTTTTTACAGTACATGTATTCATACTTTCAGTGATTTTTAAATGTTTTAAAGCAGAATGACCTTTAGAGAAGTACTTTACAACTTTTTTTGACTGAATTAAAGCTACTTGATGTTTCTATCACTCACTAATTATTTTCCCAAATATTGGCAAAGATCAAAGTCATCTGAAATCACTGTAAAAAAAGGTTGATGAACTGATGCAGCACTTTTATGTACCTCAACTTTAACAGCACAAGTTGCAGTTGCCCCATACTAATTTCTATATCATTTGAGTACTTTACCCTGATAGCATTGCAGATGAAACAGAACTCGACACTGACACCTCTACCACCTAACATGAATGAAGCATTCGTCTTCTTCACCAAAAGAAGTACCAAGGTCTTGTAGTCCAGTACAACTAAGTTTGATAACAGAAATGGGAAAGCAAAAGTTAACATGCTAAACTTTCCAGGAAATTAATCTCTAATGTATCTAAACAAAAGGGTACTCAAATCAATTTCTGACGTAAAATAGTAATAAATTCCAGGTTTTATTTCTTGCTGCTGCAGTTAAACCTTGAACATGTTTTACAATATAAAAAAACACTTAATTTACTATAGTTTGACTACTGCTTCAATCTAGTTCTAGTCAGACTACCAACTGGGTAGAAATACAATAAATTGCTATAAATAGTATCAAAGCAAATTCCAAGACTAACATTGATTCTTACCCAGAAATTCAACGGTGTAATGTCTACCATCAACTGTCATTCCTTTTTCCTTTAATATTTTCTTCTGGTGGTTGATGTCCTCAAAAAGAATCTTGAGGTTGTCTCTGTCAACAAACAAAAACCAAAAATCTATACAGTCATTGTTATATTTAGTGCATTAAAGCCAAATTAGGGATATTGATATCAATCCACTTAGATCTCAGAGTGGATGCATGACCTGGTGATATTGCAACTGAGTGGGGCTTACAAAAATCTGTCATTGTGTTATTTAAGTTAAATGCACATACAACCACAAGCATATTCTAGCCAGAAGGTAGTAAAGAGTTCAAGCAAGTTGCAATTCACAAACCTGTCTTCTTTACAGTTGGCAATTGTCAATGGGTAGACTGATTTTGCACTTTGCTGGCTATATACAGCACCATCACGGGGAACAATTCCAAACAACACCTGAGCTCTACCTGCAAAACAATTTTTTACACTAAATTAGTCAAGACAAAAACTGCACCCTTCACCAACCCATTTCACCTTACACATTATTATCATGACCACCTTCCATACAAAGAACTGCTTGCAAGGCCAAAAAAATTTAACAATTATAGTTATTTTGATTTGGAAGTACAACACACACACACACAAAATATGTGGATGATTATCATACGTGGGGAACAACCTTTAATAACAATAATAATAAAATAATTTACAGACAAAACTGCAGAGACAACATGCATTATCACATAATTTTACCCCAAAATGGTCTCCCATCAAGCTTCATCATCAGTCGCAAAGCATGTGAAGACAGCTGGTGCAGCCTTTGTTCCTTTACGATTAACTCTGCAACAGAACTCAAATTCACAGAGAAACCTTGTATAGGAGGAGCCACCTTCTTAACCCCCATATACTCCTTACAAGCTCCAAAAACCATCTTCTTAGCTGCCTTGATCTGGTTTAAGTTGAGGAGGAGAGGCGTGAGAGAGGATTTCTAAGAAAATAATAGAAAGCAAGGTGATAAAAAGCAAAGATTAAACTTTTTTAATCTAGGTTGATTCTTTGTATCCTTTGTCTCCTACTAGTCCTAGGAAACAAAGGAAACATAATCAACCTCTGTAGGTTAAAAAATCTTCCCTTGAACATAATTTTGACCTGTAACAATAACATTGCTACAGTCAGCAAGGGTCTTTGTGACCATTTTATGAGAAACTTTTATCACTTTGCCAGCCCTATGTTCTTCAAATGTGAAAAAATGAGTTAAAGTACTGCTTTTACCGTTAAAGCACCGCTTATTTTCCTCATATATATTTTTGAGTTCTTGATGAATAAAGCTCTACCAGTTCAAACAGCATCTATCAACAGAATTTCATGGGAAAAAACTTTAAAGATTATATTTTAAATTTACACTTGGTGTCATGGAATATTAATAGGAAGTAGAGCAATGACCTTCTATATTAATGGTCCAGGGTTTGTCACTAAGAGCCGGCTTCCAGCATATTTTACCAGCTGAAAAAGAGCTTACCACTGGCTCAAATTGCTCTGGAAAACAGACATAGGGTAATTTTGAAGACGCAGTTGAGTAAAACGCCTGCTTAAGTAATAAAAAAAAGCCTGCTTATCTTTTCCTGTACAAGGCTTCGCTTACGAGAATAACTGAATAAAACAAAAGAAAGAGCTGCTATAAACATTGAGGCTCGTGATGGAATAGTTCTTTTTTTGTTCTTTTATTCCCTTAGCTGGGGTGCCAAGTATGGATATCAATATACCAACGTAACTAAACATCTTACCCCCGTCCTTCTGAGCCCTGTGATGTTTATCACGGATTGCCACGTTTTCAAAGAAACTCTCGCCATCGCCTGGAAAAGGACAAGCTTCCAATCAGGAACTCTCAGGCATGCCACGTACTTCGACATTGTGTCGTCGCTAACTAGCTCTTCCACACTCCTCTTTACTCCCCTTTTTACAGCCATCTCTTCGACAATTTCATTAACGATGGCCTTTGCTTCTGGGTCGCCAAATGTGCACATGTTCGAAAGCACCATTGCCAAACTTTCCCTGTTTCTTTCGCACATGTCATGCACGTCCTTGATGACGCGACTGCTTTGCTGCTTCATCAACAGCACCTTTTCTGGAGTATCCAAATCTTCCTTTTCGCTGATCTCCTTCAGATTTGGGGAAACATTCTTTTTTTCAGCTCTTTGCGAGTTTCCACTGTTTGGGGGTGTCATGGCCACAGATGATGTCTTGTTTGTTGGTGTCGTTGGCATTTCCAAGCATCGTGAAGCACGTGGTCGTTCTTTGTTTGCTTGGCCTTCATTTTCTTTGTCGATAGACATTTTACTGAGATCTACTGAGTTCAGCAAATCTCTCAAATCACTCGGCGAAGCAGAGTGGTTATCAACCCAAACGAGGAACAGACAATTTCCGTTGCATCAGAGGACTTCTTGTTTGAGTAATGGTGGCCATCTAGCAGCCGAATGTGGGCACTGTCGATTCTTTGAAAATCGCTCAGACAACTGGCGACAACAGGCGACCGCTTAAAGTATTGCGTCGGCGTTGATCCACAAACTTTCGAACTTAGAATGAACCAAGTCAATTGTGGACTTAATTCAGGGCTGATGACCGGAGTGAAGGGGGAGAAACCCTTCCTAGGTGCCATCTCTGCTGCTACTGAATCACGCGTTTGAAATACAAAAACTGCAAAGAAAAGATAGGCGGGCAAAAACCATGACATTCGAATATCGACATAGTAACATTATCCAGCTGCTAACTCGAGAGTGTTGATAATTTAAGCTAGTCGGCCCATGACATATTTAATGAGATTAAATCAAATTAACTTCGGGATTATCACACCTGAAAAAGACGAGCTCAGCGGGCTTAATACTTACAGTGCAAAGCACTTGTGTCTTCTCATGGTAAAATTACAAAAAATGTCAGCTGTTAATAACTAGCATTTATTGTCTGTCAATAACTGCAGAGCTTCTTTTCCAAGTCATTTTACAACTGTAATATTTTTTCTATATCATTGATATAACAGTAACTGTAACACTAAGTTAGAAATAGAATTTGATTTCATTTTGTTATAAACCATTGGTCTTCCAATGCACTGGAGCAATGAACTTTATATGGTATAATGTAAGAACAGGTCTGTTCTTGTGTCAATATACCTCTTGGTTTTGAACTGTATATGCCGGTACATATATACTTAAATAAACATTAACATCTCAATTCCTTGTGAGAGCATTTTTTTTACACATTTTTACTAAATATTTTAAATATGAATAAATTGATATCAGTAGGAAAGAGTCTTGCAACTGCCTAGAGTGTTCTGTTCTTAATATCCATCTCTTAAAAGAGACATGTATGTGCGAGCAGAATGTCCTTGGGGAACATGTTCTTGCACTTGGCTCATTGTGTCGTGGCTGTTCATTTCTATCTCAAACAGAATGTTACTGATTCTCTTTTCAGCAATCATTCTTGATCTTCTGTCAAATGTTTCTAGCTTTTCTGAGACATACTTGGAAAATGAACACTGTTCCTTAATTGGCACAGGTTGAGGTTGAGGGCAAGTTGTCTCTCGAAGTACTTCGATACAAGTCGATAGAAAGTTCTCTTTCCTGGCCTCCATGGATTTTCTTGCCTTTTTGCTAACCCTTGGAGTGGCTTCCAAAATTTCAGCAGGTGAAGGAGTTGACAGTGATTCCTGATCAAATTCGTCCTGTGTATTATTGAGCAACTCTTGGTCTGGGGACAGGTTATCTTTGCTCTTAGCAGCTTGCGTTACTGGATGAAGAAATTGTAGTTTATCGTAGAACACCCACGTGGACTTTTTTCACTGGTTGCTTGTCCTGACTTCCAGGAGTTTGTTTTGGCAATTTCGCGACCAAGTTGCGTCCTCAGGCCCGCTATTTTCGTCTTAATATCTTTTTTAGTATGCTTAAGTATGTCTTCCAGTTCTGTGTAAGCGACTTCTCTCTTTTCGCGATTGTGGCAGTCCTTATCAAAGACATCCCACAAACAGCTTCGCTTTTCCAGCTCATCTATGACTGTGTCTATCTCACCAGACTTCCATTTTGGTTTTTTTGTTTTGTCTGCCTCCAGTGCTTTCCTTTTCCTTGCTGCAGTGTCGATCTCTTCTGCAAAATCGTCTGGCGTATCATAGTCCTCCATTGTAGGATCAGCTGATTGAAATACTATCACCCGGACGTACTACAGCCACACACAAAATTGTTTTGCATTGCTACTGTCTTTGCATCCATGGTGACCATGGTTACGTTTTCTTAATTGCACACGCGCTTGCTCAACAAGTGCCATGGTGGTTGATGACTTTGGGATCGCCCCATACTGATTTCCACGAATCATGTCCAGAACAGCTGGTTTAACAACATCTTCCACCACGAATTCCTTTGCTACCTTAGAGACACAAGGTGTAAGTGAGATTGGCCTTAAGTCCTTTTTCAGGTCTAGCACAGGCTTCTTCTTAGGGAGAGGGGGAACATCGGCCATCTTCCAGATGGTGGGCAACCGTTTTTTTCCCATGAAATTCTGTTGATAGACCGCTGCATTGAGGATTTATGTGATGGGGAAGGCCAGGATGTCCGAATACTCCTTCAAAAGCCAATTCAGCACGTTATCTGGCCCGGATGCCTTGCTTTGATTGAGATTCACCAAGACCTTCTGGACAGGTTCTTCGCTGACAGTTAAAAATTTGGGTGTGTCCTCCAGGGGGAAGTGGGCAAGTGGCTCGTGTAACTCGTAAACTTGAAGAGGCTCGAGAAACGCAGAGTTGATGGCATTTGCTTGGTCTGGTCTGGAGAGACTTGAAAATTGCTCAATGTTTATTAGATTCAATAGGTTGCCGTTTCTTGACTTGGCACCACTTACCCGATTAACCTCGTCCCACCATTTCTTGGGATTTTTGCCTGTCCAGGGGACAAAGAACGTGCCTTCACAACACAAGGGTTCTTGAACACAAGGTTTAATAATGGAGAGTTGCACACTCATTTCTTAACAACACAACAGGATCGGAATTGGAGTCTCATCTTTGGCTAACAAGCTTCACCTTGCAAGTAAAAACCTACAAAACAAACACTTAATCACTGTTGGAACGGGATTTGGAAATACATGAGCTCCTAAGACTCAACATACGATGAGAAATTCCCGGCAATTAGTGCGTTACAAAGCACATGGTTTCTTTCTTGCTACACGATGACACTGAGATGCGCTCACTAAGCATGCTGGGAGTATAAATTACAAAAATGGAATGGAATGGACTTAGGAAAACAAAATTGTTCTCTTGTTGAGGATTGGCCTCAACATTGCCCTTTAGCTGTTGAACCTTTGATTCGTAATAGCAGGCTCGACACACTTTCCTCTTTTGGTTAACGAGGTTTCTAAGGTACTTGAATTGAGAGAACTCGGGGCCATGCATAGTAAAGGCCTTTTGTCTCTTCAGGATAAAGGCTTTCACTCTCTGAGTCATCCACGGGGTGTCAGCTGTACAAATACGAAATTGTTTCTCTGGCATTAAGATGTGAAGACCAGTGCACACTGCCTTGGAGAAAACCTTCCACATTTCCTTGCACCCTCGAGTGGAGAAAACAATATGGACCAATTGATGCCATTCAGAAATCTCCCCATTGATGCTTTAGAGCTGGCCTGTAGGTTTCGCTTGGTAATGGTTTTCTTGGTGTTGTTGATGTGTTTCCTGTGCAGAGGAGTTGCCACCACGACATTATGATTGGACTACCCAAGTGGCGTGAAAGGTTTTGGGGGGGAGTAGTGATCATGCATATTTGATATGTGTAACTTTGTTACAGGTCTTGGCTGAGTGGTTTTGCCACATGGTACTGGGAAAAGGCATTCAACGCTGCTCTTGTGTACGTTATAACCATCTGCTCGCAATACTAGACTACAACAGGCCTAAAATAATTTTGTGATAAATGTTGGTGGCGTATTTGACAAGAAATGACAAAGAAAAGGACAAATTTGTTGGAGCTGATTAACATGCGTGCTGCCTGCAAGGCGCTAACACCTTATAGATAATTTCAACACCTCAAAACATCAAGCTCTTTGCCAGGTTGAAGGAATCTAAGGGGGTTATAATTTTCAATTTTGCTGAAAACTGGTTGCTAATTATTATGGCGTGGATGTGTTTTAACAGTAAATGAACATTTTGTATCTATAACATGAGACCTCATTGAAAAAGACAGCAAAAACATGTTAGTTAAAAAAATTAAGTACCAAATATTTTAACAAGTAACTTTTGTTTGCATTCAGTGTGGATATGGTCAAATCTCAATTTACAATGATCTTCCATGGGTAAGGAGGGGGGAAGGGTGTGATAGTGGTATCTTCTGGAAATAAGCAAATAGATGTACAGCTCAAATACTGAGTTAACACAATGTTTGAATGTGTCATTCATTGCTCAATAAATATTTATTATTATACATGTAATAAAACATTGAATTTTTAATTTTTTATACCCCTGAAGTTTACCAATGAATGAAGAAATATACGTCAAAATATTTGGCTTTGTAAAGTCAATGTTACGACAGAGTATCAGTAATAATTTTTCAAAGGATTATGCAAGTTGTATAAATACATAATTATAGAGTATTTTGTATCTAAACCTTTGATGCTCATTTGCAGAGCTCTGTCTTTGTTTATACATGTATATATCTCCTAAATGACTAACTGATGAAAAAACGTAGGCTTGTGACATACAAGATTGAGGATTTTGTGTGATCTTCCACCAGATACTGTACACTGTGCCAAGGTGTACTGTTTTGTATTTGATAAAACTCTTCAACACCTTCAGTGATTTGTTGGCCATAGAAAGAATTATAATGTGGCAGAATGAAGTATGTTAGTTCACCTTCTGTACAGCTTAGAATTAAGGTAAAAAATATGTGCAATATGGCTCATGTTAAGTTTAGTCATTGTAGGATGTTGGTGTTTCAGTTATTCAAATTCGTTGATGTGTCCAGGTTTCAGTGTTGCAGTGTTGAACAAAACCTCACTGTATTTAATACATGCCCATGTATACAGGTATGCCATCAACATGTACTCCTTGATGGGAATATAACAGATTAGATGCCTAGTTTACAATGTAGTTGTACCAGCTATAGGTGTGATACATCAACTTGTGAAGCTGTGACAATGCAGTTATTATTGACAGCTATGGTGGTTGGTGAAATACATACTGTATCAAACAGCCTTGTCAAAGTAGACTTTGTTACCATATTAGGTAGCAAAGAACAGCTGGTCTTGTGGACTGGAATGTCTTTCAGATGTGCATGGTGTTTGACACCCTTGGTTATCCATCTGCCATAGTGAGTACAGTTCTGTTTTGCATAAATCCACATACCAGAATTAATCAATGGCACCAAGAGAAGTACATGAGCTGTAGATATATCATGTAGATACAAAAAAAAACCCCTGAAAATTATAGAAGAAAGGTATCCACTTTCCAATGACTGAATAATATTTAAAAATTTACCTTAACATTGCATTGAGAAGGCTGTCTGCCATGAAGGGGCATAATGAAAAAAAAAGTACTTACTTCAAGGGGAATTCCTCAAATAGAAGGGGGATGTTGAAATTCCTGGGAAGAAATGTGCTCGTCATGCAGAAAATAACAGTCCTGAAAGGAATTTTGAAGACATTATTAATTTGTACTGACTCATAACTATGATTGTCAAAATGAATGTCTGAAGGCTATTTTTTCTCTGTCAACATCATTAACACAGTCAAAAAATCTAAGTATTGGTAAGTTTAAATAATTTTTCATTAAACTGCTGGACAGAGCTAATGTAGCAATTAGCAAGTATTAGTAAGTTTAAATAATTTTTTATTAAACTGATGGTTGGACAGCTAGTGTAGCAATTAGCCCTATAGAGAGATATCACAAAATGATTATTATGGTCTTCAGTGTGCTTCCAGAAAGTATAAAAAATTTAGAATGTTGCTGGCAATAAAAGTCTATGTATGGATTCGAAATTTTTATTAGACCAAGTACTTTATCAAGGTTACCAATGGTAACATTCTTCACAAAGCTGTGAAGGACACATAAATTGGCTTATGATCACTGTAGTATGACTCAAGTGTACCTACAGATTTTACAAGATGTATATTTGTATAAATGTGATCTATCAGAGTATGGTAGTCTGTAGTATGTATAGGTAATCACATGAGGCCAAGTACTATTAAGGATTAATTGCACGAGAGTTTTCAAAATTTTCCAAAATTGCCCAAACTGGCGATGTGGGATGAAGTGAATGCGAAGTTAAGGCGCTCAAGACAAAGCTCATCAGACCCAACAAAAGGTGTTGGTTGCTATAGACAGCAGGACGGTGGCCATGGAGGTTGGAACCCACGAAGGAGTGTGTAGCAACTCACCTGCTGTAGCAAGTAGCCCTGAAAATGGATGGCACTCAAGTGTCGCACCTTTACTCTGCCATCGGGGTGAGCAGCCTGCCTCAACGAGTAGGAGGGCGCGGGGGTCATGACGCAGCCTCCAGTGCGAGCTCGGGTCAAATGGCCCCTGGTGCAGATCTTGGTGGTAGTATGAAATATTCAAATGGGAACTTTGAAGACGGAAGTGGGGAAAGGTTCCATGTGAACAGCAGTTGAACATGGCGTAGTGGATCCTAAGATATAGGGTAATTCCATGTCAAAGTGCCTGATACTTGGGCTGCCTATCAAAAGGGAATTAGGTTAATATTCGCAAACCAGAACGCGAATATTGCCACTTGTTAGCAGGTGCAGGAACGCAACCGAATCCGGAGACGCTGGTGGGGGCCCCAGAAAGAGTTCTCTTTTGTTTTTGACGGACTTTCACCCTGAAATTGGATTGTCTGGAGGTAGGGTTCGATGTCAGGTAAAGCACCACACCTCTTGTGGTGTCTGGTGTGCTCTCGAGACCCTTGAAAATCCAGGGGAGACGATGATTTTCAAGTCCTGTTGTACTCATATTATTATTATTATTATTAATAAGATCTTTTGACAGGGAGCCCACGTCACAAAGTGTGGTTTTCAGTGAGGCCCTGCATAAATCTAACGTAAGGATAACAGAAAATATAAATATGGTTATCAAGAATAGGATAAAAGGATATAATCAATAGAAGAGACTACATGTTCTTAACAAGACGTCTAAAAACTGAAAAATC